TTTTTTTTTGCCCTCTTAATAGAAAAATCACCAAATGTTTGACATTTATTTTGAAAACAAAGAGTAGTTTTCCTTCGTTTTTGGACTAAAGATAGTTTGTTGTATATGTCATATTTGATGGTGTTTGATATACATTTATTATTAATCAATAAGATCACATCAAATGTGGAGAAATCGAGTTATAAAATTGAGTATAAAGTACATTTACTTGTTTACACAGCACTGGAGAGCATGGAAGGATATTATTATAGAGACAACGTTTCAGTAGAAGAATTTCAAGCCCAAATAAATGCAGCCTCATTGGAAAAGGTCAAACAGTACAACCAGAAGCTCAGGTATGTCATAGTCCAAGTTTTCCTTTTCTTTTTTCAAATGTCTTCTGTATTTTTGATGGGAATAAATGAATAGGATTGGCATTCATTATATTCGATTATCAGTGAGGATATTTCTTTTGAAATTAAATCCTCTTATTTAGGATTTAATATTTCAAATGAGAGTAGACTTGTTAAATAAAAATGAATAGATTTTTAAATAAAAATAATTAATAAAAAATGTTTAAAATATTTTCATGGTAATGTTTTAATTTCTGAAGAAAATGAGGAGAAGAAATCAAATACTTTTTAGACCATTTCCAGGAGAAAAAGCATCGACAGATTTTATAGTGGTATCCCCAAGGAGGTTCAGTGGATTAAAGGTAAAATGGATTCCTCATGAACTTTTAAACAGCTAAACACCCTCACACGGAGAGAATATGTTCAACCTGAAGATTTGACAGATCATGTGCTTGGTTTGGAATGAATATCTACTTTTACATGCATATATGAATACTTGAATTTTACTGGATTTTTTTTTTCCTCCTAAAGATAGGGTTACTGGTACAATGATAAATGACAGAGAAAATTAGCCACAAGAAAGAGAAGTGTATTTATAGTTCAGAAGCTTTAATTTTTGACAAATTATTAGTATATATATTTTCTTTTCATCTTATAAGTTACCCTCTTGATAGAACAGTTTTTTTTTTTTTTTTTTTTTTTTTTTTTTTTTTTTTTTTTTT